CTGGATGTTCTTAACGGATATTGTTTCCATTTTATTTAGGTTTAGGCCACATTTGTAACCATTATGTTGCTCTGCTCACATACAATTTGTAACCATTATGTTGCTCTGCTCAGCCCCACTTACTATCAGTATTAAATAAGATGTATTTTGCTGGCATAACTCTCCCGCACACATTGGCTGGAACTTTGGATCTGAGTTGTGGCTACTACAACTAAACGGGATTGATAACTTTGCCATCATGCTTGATCACATCCCTTTGTCTCAAAAGCTTACCTACCCTTGTAAACACCCTCACAGTCTGTGCTGTGCACACAGTTACCAAGCGGTGCTTAATCCCACTGTCATCACTGGGCACACCTGGTGAATCTGGGCTTGGCTAGTGACTTGCTTTGATCATGGGATATTAGCAAACATGATACAGTAAAGGCTTGAAAAAGAGCTTGCCAAGTTCTGCAGCTCTGGATCTTTGGGACTGCTCTGAGAACAGAGCTCAAACTAGCCTGTTGGAAAGGCTGCAGAGAGGAGAATTGAGGCATGCACCCCAGCAGGACCCCTGCTAACCACCCATGTGAGGGAGGCCATCCCAAATTAACCATTTGGCCTATCTGAGACCTAAGCAGAACCACCCAGCTTACCTCAGTCCCAACTGCCAACCCAAAGAATTATGAACTAATAAATGATAGTTGTTTGAAGTCCCTCAACTTTGGAATAGTTTGTTATGAAGGGAAGGGTAACTGACACAGTCCTTTCCAACTCTGAAATCTTCTGAGTGTGACTTACCTCCATCTTTTAAGGGTGGGAGCTCAGCTGTCTTTAACTCAAAGTCACCCTTAGTAGGGTTGCCTTTAAAGTGCTTCTTCAGGGTCCATCTTTTAGCGTGAACCATCCTGAAGCTCCTACAACAGAGTAAATGTATAGTCAACTACAGCCAAGTGACTGGATTCCTACAGTCCCCTAGCCTTGGTACTGAGCCCAGACAGCACAACCACAATAATTCTCACGATCACATAACATCAACCACATTCATTTAGTATTTACTATGTTTCTAACACTGTGCTAAGTTCTTCATATATATTACCTCATTTTATCCTCATAACTTTTCTTTTGTCTTTTTTTTTTTTTTTTTTTTTGCCAGGGCTGAGTTTGAACCTGTCACCTCCGGCATATGGGGCCAGCGCCTTACTCCTTTGAGCCACAGGCGCCGCCCTATCCTCATAACTTTTCTATAAAATAGTCATTATTATCATTGTCAGTTTCCTGATGAAGAAATTGAGATTTAAAGAAACTTCCAAGGGAAGAAAAAATGAAAATGGACACAGAAATTCTTCCCAACCACCACCCGGCTAGAGTTTCTCTAGAGCACTGAACAGCTATGAGGCACGCAAACGTTTCCAGTTTCTCCCCTCGCAAGAACCTAATTCTAAGAAAAATCAACAGACACAAAGAACTAATAGAAGTCCATGCACTTCCTTCAGATGAACACACCCGCGTTCTAAGGCAAACTGCCGGGAAAAGCTGAAAACCACGGGGGTGGGGGCACCGCTACCCGGCCCTATATTCTGGTGTGCTCTTTCTTGGGCCCAGGATTTGTGTTTAAATTTGCCGCCCCCAAAACCAAGAGAAGATTAAGGCTGCGCTGGACTCTCGGGTCAGGATGTCAGACATGGACTGCCCTCCTCCACACCACATGGGGGTCGCTCCTTCCCGGCTCCGCTACAGACAGGCCGCAGTGGCTGGTGATTCCACCTTGTCCCACGACCAGTACCAGGGTGAGGGGGCACTCATAGCCCCGAGGGGACACTTCGGGGAAGCCGTTGGGGTGGTGGGATCCACAGCCCGGTTTACTTTTTAAAAAAGTTATTATTTTTAATAGACAAATCATAATTGTATGCATTTGGGGGTACTAGGTGATGTTTAGATGTAATATATGCAATGTGGAATGATTAAATCGCCCTAAGGAAAGTAGCCCTCACCTCGCTTGCCTATTATTTTTATGGTAAGACATTTGAAATTTACTCTTAACTATTTTGAAATATGCATTATTGACTGTAGTCACTGTGCTATGCAATAGATCTCAGAATTCATTCCTCTTGTCTATCCGAGAGTTTGTGCCCTTTGACCAACAGCTCCCCTCCCCCAGCCTCTCCCAGGCTTTGGTAAGCACCATTCTGCTCCCAACGTCTACGAGTTCCACTTTCTACGGTCCCTCTTCCCCAAACGGGCTGGGAATTCTGATCTCCACCCCTGGGAAGTGTCTGACCCAGAGGCAGGTGAGATGCGGGTAGAGTCTCGCTGATTTTAGGCAGGGCCCTGGCGCGGTCCGGATCGGTGCAGCTCGCCTCACACCCCTCCTTCCACCCTCGCCCCGGTTCTGCAGTCCCGCCAATTGCTCCCCCAGCCCTTTCTCCAGGGCAGGCGGCTCTGGGTGTCCCGGAAATGCAACCAGGCTTTGCGCTTCCCTCCAACACCCGTCTGCAATCCCGGAGAAGAAGGAAAGGGAAGTAGGGTGTCCACTTACAGGAGGAGTCCGCGAGTTCCGAGAGCCGGAGGGCGGCGCAGCGCCGGGAGCTGCATTTACAGGGCCCGGGGACGGGCGGGGCACCCGGGGCGGGGCTGCTCGCGGACGGGTGGAGGCAGTCCCGGAGAGTCACGGGGGAAATCGGAGTTCCAAGAATGCAAGTGTGTGTGTGCGCGTGTGTGCGCGTGTGTGCGCGTGTGTGCGTCTGCGTTACATTCCCGATCATAAAAACCCCATCCGAGCCCTGCCGTCCTGGAATTGGGAACCAGGAGGGAAGCAGCCCCGGGATGGGGGAACTAGCCTCAACCTCAGCCGCGCAGACCCGGAGGGGCCACAGGCAGGCCCCCAGGTGGACGCCGCGCTGGCTCCGGTCCCCGGCTCCGGGCAGCGTGACCGTCCGCGCCTTCCTCGCGGTACCCCGCGCTGACCCCGCCTGCCCAGGCTGCCTGGCGCGCTCCCACTCACCTTTCTCCGGCCAGCGCAGGAGTCGCTCCTCGGTGAATCCTTCCCAGACTCTCCGGGGTAGGAGTGAGCACGCCTACCCCTGAGGCATCCCACCCGCCACACCCGTGTGGTCTGAGGCTGGGACTGTGCGCAAACACAAGTGTCCTGTTTTCAATTGCTCAAGTTCCAAGCCCGCACCGGCTGTAGATTTCGGAGAGTTTACTTAAGTTCTCCCTGCCTCAGTTCACCCTAGATGCAAGACGGGCATAAAAACAGTGCTTAGCCCCCAGAAATTATGAAAATTCAGTATCTTTTAAAGAATAAAATAAGTTACTAAATATCAAGTACTTACACCGGTACAAACCCATGGTAAACATTCATTCATTAAACGCTAGCTCGCAGTAACCATCTTTTGACTTCTCCACTGGCCTAAAATAAGTTTCGGGCACCCCACACTGGGTCTAATTCAATTTTATACTCCCAACCTCTGGCCCAATCTTTGTTGGTCATGTCATATAAATTAATGAAGCAGTTGAAAAATGTTTAAGGCCAGGCGCAGTGGCTCATGTCTGTCATCCTAGCACTCTGGAGGACGAGGCGGGCGGATTGCCTGAGCTCAGGAGTTCAAGACCAGCCTGAGCCAGAGCCAGAGCGAGCCCCCCCCATCTCTAAAAGTAGCCGGCTGTTGTGTTGGACGCCTGTAGTCTCAGCTAGTTGAGAGGCTGAGGCAAGAGAATCGCTTGAGCCCAACAGTTTGAGGTTGCTGTGAGCTATGACACTACAGCACTCTACCAAGGGCGACACAGTGAGACTCTGTCTCAAAAAAAAAAAATAAAATAAGTTTAAAGAACTTTAAAACTTCCCTGTAATTTCCTCTAGTATCTCCCTCTTTAACCAGCATTACCTGACTTTTTTTCACATTTATAATCTTGTCATTACCTGTATCTTTAGGATATTTTTTTTTCTTGCAAATAACAGAAGACTCATGGCTTAAATAAATAAAGGAGATTTATTGGCTCATGTAACTGGAAAGTCCAGAAAGCCTGGCTTCAACGTTAGTCTAAGTTGAGATTTCAAGATTTCGTGCTTACACGCTGCTCTCCATGGCATCAGCATAATCCTAACGCTTGCTCTCCTCATTGTGAGTTAATGGCTGCAGCAGCTCAGCTACTCTACAGGAGAGAAAAAGAAGAAAAAAGTCCATCTCCCAGAATTCCTAGCAAAAGTCCTCTACCTCTCACTGATCCGCCTGTCTCTAAACCAATCTCTGGTTAGTTAAAGGCTTCTGAGCTGATGCCTGGGTTTAGGATTCCCTTTCTCCCCTTGCCAGGCATTCAATCAACAAGGCACTGAGTGAAAAGTTTAGAATTCCAAGAGATGAGGACGGGCACAGTGGCTCACACCTGTAATCCTAGTACTCTGGTAGGCCAAGGCAGGTGGATTGAGCATGACCCTGCTTCTAAAAATAGCCAGGCATTGTGCCTGGGCCTGTAGTCCCAGCTACTTGGGAGGCTGAGACCAGAGAATTGCTTGAGCCCAAAAGTTTGAGGTTGCTGTGAACTGTGACTCCATG